GGGGGGGACACAACCATGGCACTTGTCAGTGGCCCAAGCTAGATCGGGGCCCGAGGGGGGGAGGGGGGGACACAACCATGGCACTTGTCAGTGGCCCAAGCTAGATCGGGGCCGGAGGGGGGGAGGGGGGGACACAACCATGGCACTTGTCAGTGGCCCAAGCTAGATCGGGGCCCAAGCTAGATCGGGGCCCAAGCTAGATCGGGGCCCACCTTTTTCGAGTTTTAAAACGTACGCACATGTTTGAAACACGAAAGGGGACCAAACTCTGTCAGCTGACTGGGGACCAGAATTTCCTAGGTGCGGCACGTTGGATTGACATGGTAAAAGTTGTATTCTCTCAAGTCCGTTACAAAAACAAGTCAACAATGGAATTCACTTTGAGCATTTTATTCTTTTATTCGTTAAAATATTGTTTTCAGAATTGTTTTACATTGTCAAAATATTATCAGTCAAAATAGGGTCAGCATCTGCTCTGTAGCTTAACTATGGCCCCCACTTGCCAAGATGGCACCAATGTTGACTGTGGTGATACTGTATCATATTCAAGAGTTCACATGCTGAAATAGCATGGACACAGGCGCTATAAAAGTATTCAATCAAAAATTATTTAGTCACATGAGCCAGACACCTGTAAACCATTTGACACTTTCAAACAGGTTATCATAGCTAGCAAAACTAAATGAGACAGTAACACGTGACCTCTTCACTATCCAGCATTCTCTACACTCAATGTTTGACAAATTCATCAGTCAAAAGACAAAAATCAGCAGCAGGACGATTTTTAAAAAAAATTAGAGCCACATTTCTTATCGAGAACCTTGTTTTTCATAGTCAAGACCGATTTGTGGCCGGCTGGCCGAGCCGCACTCAGGTTGCTAAAGAGCCTCGATTTGCCGACCACTGGTCTACACCTACGGGCCAGGAAAAGATGCGGAGAGTTTTCAAGTGTTCCCCAAGTCTTTAGGCAAAAGGTCACTTGACCAAGTCATTTATGGATTATGATGATACAACCTCCCCCCACCCTTTTTCCCAACAAAACTTTTAGGAAAAAAAAGTCGGTGTTTGGTTAGTTACAGATAAAATATTTCAACGAGAAGCCTACCCAAGCGAAATTACCTTTTTTTTTAAAATCCAGGTTCTCAAAAAAGGGGGGCTAAGTCGAGGGTTTAAAAAAGTATATTTTTTCCGAGTGATATTTCTTTGAACGCGCATGCGCTACTGTGCCATGACAACGAACAGGTAAACACTGTTTTCCGGCGACATCAGCTAGAAGTGCCATTGGAAACGATATTCTTGATGAAAACAATTTAATTTAAATAACGTTTACATTTTTTTTCAATCATGCCGACCAACAATCCGGCAGTTGAGAGGTCTGTTGTTGACCAGATAGAAGAGCTGAAAGCGAAAATAACTCTTTTAGGTAAGTTACTGAAGTTGACTGATAGTATTAGTATTAGTCACTAACACACCAAGACTAAACACTAAACAGTTTACTAAACACAGATGTAATCACTGATCACGAACTGTGACTAATTATGACTAACTAACCAAGACATTCATCGTCAGTTATCATTAAAGTGAATAAAGTCAAAGTTGATAAGACTTAAGATAACCGAAGTAGTTTAGCCAATTAAGAGGCCAATGGTTTTATTCTTTAGTTGATTCATAATCAGATTCAGATTTAATAATTCATAACAAACTGGCAGTAGCCTACTTTACTTCTTGTTGATGCTAATATAATTTTTTACCTCAGAATAAATAAACTTAAATTGATATTTTAAAAGTTTAAATGTCAACAGAAACACTTCTAGTGTTAGGCCTAAAAATATGTAATTTTTGTAATCTTTTAATTTGAAGTTTCTATCTTAATTTTAATTATGAAAAATTATATACAATTATAATTTGTATAGGCCTAGTATCATTTAATGAATTATCATAAATCAAAGTTAAAGTTTATTTTATTCTACCTGCCAATAAAACTTTGTCAAAAAAATAATTTATCAGTTTCATTATATTAAAATAGATTCTGTAAAGGTATAGTTAGCAGCATGGGGTTTGCCAAGAGTTTTCTCACCCTGATTGGAACCACAGTGACGTCACTTGGGGGGGGGGGAGGGGGGGATGCTCACTCTAGACTTGGGTGCTTAGACCAATTAGTTGTTCCTGTACAATGTGTGTGATAACTTTCCCATTCTTCCCTGAGCATTATTCACACCATAAACTAAATGTAACAATCGATATGGTGGTTAATATGAAGGCAGTGTCTATATGTATATCTCCCGCACTATTTGTCCGGCAACCAAGTCACATGACCGTCAGAAGATGACCCCCCGCCCCCCAAAAACAACACAAATTAAGGAAGTCAGGCATGATTTCTGTGAACTGTGTAGTTTACTGACAATTAAAGTAATTATTTATTGAATGCTTGTTTCATATGTTTAATAACTTACTAGTAATTATTATGATAATTACGGTAACATTCTGTAAAACTTAGCATTTTAAATTATTTCAGTAGTGCTTTTTGTGACAGTGACAATGCATCTAAAACAGCAAGATCATTTTTTTGACAAGATTTGCATTAACTTACAAGTTAAAGATCAAAGTGAAAATTTAAAAAAAAAAAGAAGAAGAAAAAAACAATGTACCAACTCTCACTTTTTTTAACGCTTTACATTTGACTAAGTATATGTTAGCCCATGTCAAACTCTTATTTATACCTTATCACAACTTTAACTTCAAACAAGTCAATGAAGAAATTACTATTGTTATCATAAATGAATTCATAAAATGTTAACATTCAATAATGAAGTGCGATTATTTTGTCAGAGGGTGATCGTAAAGCCTACTATGAGTCCTCTCAATATGCACTGCAAAAGAACAAAGAAAAAATCTCCTCACTCAGGAAGGAGACTAAAGAATTGCGACAACAACTCAAGGACAAGCTATCGGTAAGGTTACCTTAACGTAGGATTTAGCCATCAGGATGGGCTATCAATGGGGTTACAATCAGATAATGTAGGATTTAGCCACCAGGATGGGCTATCAATGGGGTTACAATCAGATAATGTAGGATTTAGCCACCAGGATGGGCTATCAATGGGGTTACCATCAGATAATGTAGGATTTAGCCATCAGGATGGGCTATCAATGGGGTTACAATCAGATAATTTAGGATTTAGCCATCAGGGTGGGCTATCAATGGGGTTACAATCAGATAATGTAGGATTTAGCCACCAGGATGGGCTATCAATGGGGTTACCATCAGATAATGTAGGATTTAGCCACCAGGATGGGCTATCAATGGGGTTACAATCAGGGTCGAAGGTGACAATTTTTTTTTTACAGTTGGGTGGAGGGGGGATCCAACCTTAGCCATTCTTTAGCACTATTTACTGCTGTGCTCTCCTGCTTTATAAAACTTTAACAATTTTGAAGCCAGAAGGTGGAGGTCCACCCTGCGGCCAGCTGTGCCACTGGTTACAATAGCTTAGGCTTTAGCCATCAGGACAAATATTTTGTACATGTAGGTGAATATTTCAAATATATTTAACTGTTAAGACTTTTATTACAATTAAGAAACAAAATTTTAAATCATTGAACAAAAAATTTCTTACTTTACTTTACAGCAAGACTCTCATGTCATTGGTAAAGCTTTTCATGACCGACCCGTGGAGAGAGCAGCTTTGGCCAACAAATCAGGACGAGTAAGTTTTATTTCTAATTTAAACTTTGATCGCTTCAGTACATTAAGTTGATTTCTATTTTTCCACAAAGACGGAAACTCAATGCAAATATTAATTTTGTTCATTTCTCACACAGCAAGCCATTACAATTTTTGACCACAAAGTCTGTGACTCCATGAAGCAGCTGAATGCCAAGAAGCATGTGACCGCACGTAAACAGAAGAAGCTCGAGGAGCTCCAGACACAGTACAATCAAATGGTCAAGGACTCAGCCGACGCTGTCAACACTGAAAAAGGAGATTCAGCTGATGCCCAGGTAAACAAATTTCAATAATCTATATTTGAAGAAGATGTAGTGAAAAGGGGGGTTGCATATGGGCAAACCAGTTTAAAAAAAAATAAAAAAATCTAGATCTAGTTGCTATCCAACTCATGATTGATGTCCCCTCTGTCTACCAAATTTTGAATTTCCAGCGATGAATTTGACCATCAGTGTGAGTTTCACTGTTGCTATAACTCTGCAGTGCTATCCAGCATTAAGTACTGAAATACTGTTGGAATTTTTAAAAAAAATTCAAAATGTGGAGTGTTTTCAATGATTAAACTGTAAATCAAAATCATGCTGTTATTATGCTGAATTCACTTGGCTGGTCGTTGAAATTTCTAATGCCATTTGGGTTTTTAATTCTTACTTTCAACTCCATTTTTTTTTTATTTTAGACGGCTCATTAAATTATTGTTAGCTAGCTTATCAATGAACAGTTGAAAAAATTGTTAGAGTTGGACACATGTCTACATGTTAGTTCACTACGATTTGTGGTGGGTTTTGGGGGGGGGGGGGGGTTGGGGGGGGTTGTGTTTTTGGGGGGGGGGGGGCTGGGGAGGATTCATTATCTTTAGTCTTGACACATCCCCGCTTTAAATACTTTGTTGTATTTTCTGTTAGGTCAACTCAGTGAGGTTTAACCTTACAATATTTGGATAGCGAAAAATTCCCATTTCTTAATGAACAATGCAGATATGCACATAATTTGTGTTGTTGGTTTTTAAAAGGCATTCAAATTTTAAAAAAAAATAACTTTTTTCCATATTCAATTATGACATTGTCAATTATGAATGTTTTTCTTTTTATGAAAAGACAATGCGATACCTGGAAAACAGCTATGATAAAATAGCACTGAAAACTGAGGAGGCAAAGCAAGTGCAGAGGGTCTATCTTGACATTAAGCATAGATTTGAAGTGGTGAGTTACTTTGACAAAAGAATTACTGAATTATTTTGCTTATAGCTTTACCTCCCATGGCTTATCAGATGACTAATTAAGTTCTCAAAATAATTGATTGAACTTTCAGAGATCTACGCTAACTAGAATCTTTTCTCTTAATCCTTTGATTTTCTTATGAATTAATTTTCTCACTTCTTTCGGTGATGATGTAAATAAAAAATAAATTGCACTCATAGGAAGCTCAAGAATATCCCACCAAACTGGACGCCATTGAACAGGAAATCAGGAGCACGCGAGCCCAACTAAAGGATCTCAAGGCCATGCATAATGATGCTCAGCTGTCCAGGGATGCTGCCGTCAATGACCTGCGACGTCACGAGGAGACCGTGTATGCTGATAGAAAGAACAGAGAAATTGAGCTGCAGAAGATGAAGAAAGAAGCAGAAGAGAAAAAGATGCAGCATGAGAGGATAGAGAAAAGACTGGTTGGTCAATCTGTCTTGTTAGTAAAATATATGGTCACGCACAGCTTTTTTAACAAACTCAATAAAGTCAAAATATTCTTATAACATAACTTAAAATAAGTATGAAATTGTCTTAAGATTGTTATTTTAGGAAATACTTTTAATGTGGAATAAATCTATGTTATTTATTTATTCTCATATAAATAAAACCACAAATTTAAAAAAAAAAAAATTACGTCATTCTTCAAATTTAATTAAAAAATTTTTTTGTTACTGCTCTAAAAACTTTTAATATTTCCACAACTGTTTGATACAGGCACAGAGAGGGTCAATACAGCAGGATGAAATAAATATGGATCAGTCTGGTGGATCAGGAAAAGACAACCAGGAAAAGATCACATCATACGAAGAGGCATTCAAGCGGATCAAAGAATGTACTGGTGTCTCTGAAACAATGGTATATCGGTATATCTTATTTAACCACCGACTTCTATAGTACTGACCATAAATGGGATTCATGAAAGAAAGAAAAAGACTTAAATATGTGAAAATTCAAAGTAATGTGTTGGCTGCAGTAAAGCTAAAACCTTAGAATAACAAGCTTTATAATCAGCACCATAATGATATTTATTTATTTCCCATGCATGGTTGGTGAGACTACAAGAGGCAAAGAAATTTTTTTTAAAAATACACTGATTAGGCTAAAATTATTTCCACCTTCCCAGCTCAAGTCCAATTTAACTTTCTATTTTTCAAGGTATTCATACAACCAATTGATGCACCATTACAACTTGATAATAGTTTCTGGAATTATTATTATAACAGTAAATGAACCTATCTAGACATATATGTGATCGATTCTCTGCTGAACATTTGCAGGAAGTAGTTTACAGGTTTGAGAACCAAGGGGAGACTACCCGTCACTTAGAAGAGCTGAAGAAGGACAGCGAGAAACAGATCACCAGGCTTCGAGAAGAGAAAGAAAAACTCCAGGAAGAATTTGAAGAAATGAAATACTCCGGAGAAGCCAAACTGTCTAGGTAATGGTATATACCATTTCTTACAGAAATATTTGCTGGTCGAATCTATTTCTAAACTTAAAAAAATATTAGTTGAGTTATAAATAATTAATTTTATTAAGAGAGTTGATTTTTTTTAATCCAATGAATTATAATTAGACGTGTGTGCCCATGCATGTTATTTTTTCAAATAAAATAATATAAGAATCTTAATCAAGGAATAAATGTAAATTCTTTTCAAATTTATGAATTGTTATTGTGTGTAATACCAATATGTAATCATTCCTTATGCAATAAATTTCTAAGTAATAAAATTGTATTGAGACGTAACATATTTATGTCAGTTTTGATGAATAATTTAAATAGTTCTGCCTTAAATTTTCACTCAAGCGGCCAAACAATGTTGGAGGAGTTTGAGGCTCATTTGGCTAAGGAAGAAGACAGACGGGATAAAGCTGATGAGCAGCTGCAGCGGAGCAGTCGCATCTTGGTGCAGGTCAAGGCTGGAGTTGAACATTTAGCCGACAAGCTTCATCACCTCAAAGCAGTATGTTGAAATACTAGATGACTATTGTGTACAATTAACTGTCAGACAGACCCATGCAATCAACTATCAGAGAGACAAATATAATTAACTATCCATAACTTGTGCTGAAGGGAGTGAGGGGGTGTCTCGGAGTTATGAAAAGTCTCATCAAGGAGACATAATATTGAGCCTTAGGAAAGAAAAAACACTGTTTATCTACAGCCCCTTGCATTACATTATAAAATCCTTCTATTTGTATAACATTTTTAGCAAATGACTGTGGAATGCAAAATATGTTTTGAGACACATGCCAGGTGACAGTTTCTTCAATAAAAACTTCACTGAAAGAGGCTCAACATTTTTAATTTCATTATGTTTTTAATAGATTTCATCTTCTATTGAAAAATAATAAAATGCTCAAAAGTGTGAAATATCAACATCCAAAATACTGATATTTAAACGATTATTTTGGGGAGATTTTTTTAACAGTGCAATAATCTGGGTTCTTCTTGGAACTTAGGATAAAATGCAAGGATTTTCTATGTTTTGTTTCAATTTACGGTTGAATTTAATCAATTTTTAAACATAATTTTTAACAAACACCATAAGTAATTTCATAATTTGAATTTATTTTTTATTTTAAGTTTTTATCAAACAAATTTCTTAACATTAAGAGAATTTATTTAAGAAACGTTAGGTAACTGAAAATTAATTTAGATTAATATAAAAAGGAGAATCAATTAATAGGTTTTAAAATTGTCCTCTGTTTAAAAAGTTTAATAATCACACTTTTTTAGATTAATTGCCATATGCTGGCTGTCACATGCTGGCTGTCATATGCTGGCTGTCTCATGCTGGCTGTCTCATGCTGGCTGTCTCATGCTGGCTGTCTCATGCTGGCTGTCTCATGCTGGCTGTCTCATGCTGGCTGTCTCATGCTGGCTGTCACATGCTGGCTGTCACATGCTGGCTGTCTCATGCTGGCTGTCATATGCTGGCTGTCTCATGCTGGCTGTCTCATGCTGGCTGTCTCATGCTGGCTGTCACATGCTAACAGTCACATGCAGGCTGTCAAAAATCATTTTTACATTGCAGACCAAAGGTCATGTACCAACAGCTCAAATCCCTGCCACATCAGATGAGTATGTCCTTGACCAGCTCTCAACATCTGAAGAGAAACTACTGAAATTATTGGAAGAGTTGGATGGAATCAATTTTGAGGAAACCTTAAAAGAAATGGAAGAACACGAGGTGACAATATTTATAAAATTTTTAAAGCATTATTATTATTATTATTACAGTGGTCTTATATAGCATTGTACCCCAGTCTAGGGCTAGGCGCACTTCACATTAAAATATATTGTCAGTATACTTAACATTAAAACAGTCACATACATTTATATACTTTAACCCACAAACTGTGGCATGCATCATTCTGTGGTGTGGAGCTTTTCGGAGCGTTTTCAGTGCCATTTGAAATTGCATTAAATGACATAGAAATATTGATACAAGACCCCTATAAGTATGTATTTTTAGAAAGGTAAATGGATGGGGATCAAGTTGGCCATATTGCCCACCCCGTAAAAATTTTTTGCTCAGTGTCCTTGACCTTGGAGTTCTCAAGAAAAAAACAATCGACAAAATGTCTTGCATTCAAGTGCTCATAACATAATTAATTTTTATAAATACACTTAAAAAACAATCTAAATGTTGTAGCCAATTCATTAACCTTTCAGAAAATGTATAGTTTGCTAAGTTTTTGATTGCAATTAAACCTCTGAAAGCAATTTTAGCAATTTTAGGTCATTTATATAAGAAACTGGGACTACTGCTAAAACCAAGTACAAAATACAAAATCTCAGGCAAAATAGTTGTTATTGACTAGTAAACACTTAAAAAGGAACTGTGGAACTGATTTGGGTTGTTTAACTATAAAATGTATTAGTTCTGAACTCTAATCTGTGGCTTCTGTGACTAAAATTCAGTCAGTCTTTGCCCAACCTATGGGCCTGGCTCGAAGTCTAACAGTAGCCTCAATAGGCCTACTTCAGTATCACTAAGACTAGTATAAAATTCAGGAGAAGAATAATCTCAACTGATATCGTCATGGGGAATGTTAAAATCATCATCAGTATCACTTAAAACCTCTCCTAAAAAGCTTTCAAACATATTTCTATTAGTTCTTGCACTGAAGGCCCAGCCATGGCTTTCAAACATATTTCTATTAGTTCTTGCTCTGAAGGCCTAGCCATGGCTTTCAAACATATTTCTATTAGTTCTTGCACTGAATGACCCCAGCCATGGCTTTCAAACATATTTCTATTAGTTCTTGCACTGAATGACCCCAGCCATGGCTTTCAAACATATTTCTATTAGTTCTTGCACTGAATGACCCCAGCCATGGCTTTCAAACATATTTCTATTAGTTCTTGCACTGAATGACCCCAGCCATGGCTTCAGCCATTTTAGCTTTAAAAAAACAGCGATATAAAACTCAGATTAAAAAGTATTTATTTTCTCGTTATCAAGAAACAGCTTGTACTGGAAGATGATTTAATTTTTAATAAAAGGAAGTGACTATAATTCCGGTTAAATATTGGATTTGAAGTTGCTAACGGACCGTGTTTTTTATCGGCCGTTTTTTTCGGCCGCCACAGTGCAGAACAAGAATGTCGGCCAATTTTTTCGGCCGACCATAGTTTGTGGGTTAAAAAAAAAAAAGGAAAGATTTACAATCCATGTCAGCTTTTTTTGGCTGGAGTAATTGTAGCAATATGGCACTATATCATAGTGACGTTTTAGGCAGCATTAGATTAAAAATTCTAGGATGCTTTGCAATTTTAAAGTTGTAGAAATTTTGTAAAAACTAACTAAAGTAAAGTCTCTGCACATGATTGGGGCATCATAGAATAGGAATTTTGATTGACCCAAATTATACAATAAGATTTCAAATTTTATAAAAACAAATTTGAAATTGATTTTTTAATATTACAAATTAAAACAATGGAGTAGCTATGTACGCTTCAACAAATGGCTCACTAGGCCAATCCTGGAATGGCAATCTTGTTTACATTTAAGCAGGAGAATCTCAACTCCTGGTTAGATTTGGAAACATTATAACTTGTTAATTAAGCGTATGTTTCATTTAATAAGGACATGCATTCATCATAAGTAAATAATTAACTATTATATCCCTGGTTCCTAGTTCCATGCCAGTATAGAAGGAAAGTTACCTGCGTATAACACAAGAGTTAAACTGCCTCAGACACAGAGAGATTTAGTCTACGAGGACGGTAAGTAGTCGTAACAATCTTACACATCTAATTGTTTATAGAATGTCTTTTAAAAAGTATGCTAAAAATGTTCCTGAAATCATAATTATTTTCAATTTTAATAAAGTAGTCATTGTTTAACCTATTAGTTTGGGAGTTTACTTGTAGAGCTTGAGTTTAAGGGGATCATACATCAAGGACGTCATGTCATCATGCTATTTTGGTATCAGTCTTTATTCATCATCACAAATTCGTCAAACAATTTAGATACCCTCAAAATAGATCGTCACAAAATTGTTTTAAAATTGTTTTATTTTGTATAAATGTTATCTTAACCATACTGGTGATAATAATACTTTATTTACATTTATATTACAAACATTTATTAGCAGTATATATTTTGAGATGCAGAAATAATTAATAGTAAAACATTGAGATATTTACAAGCAGTATGTGTTATGGCTGGAAAGCCACTGATCGATTTCAAATGGAAAGATGTGGAGAAGCAGGCCATGCCCTTACATGGGATGTAGCACCACTGACCATCATATGCCTTGTACATAAATATTTTTAAAAAACTATCAGTATGAGCTCATAGCCATCGAAATTGAAATTTGGGTAATTTTTTATTTTAATCTGACACCTTCAGTTCCTTTAATGTCTGCAGATGATGATAGTGGAGAAGATGACACAGACGTCCCCAACAGGTCGGCTATCAAGAAGCAGTCTCAGTTTATAGTGGACAGTAAAACAAAGAGACGTGTTCCAAAAAAGAAAAAGAAGACAAAATAAACACATTATGTATTTTCATTAACATATTATAAATAGAAATATATATTTTTTTTCAATTCTATTTTTTTATTTTTTTTAGAAGAAAAAAGAGCTCAGCCCAAAAGAGCTCAGACCAAGGGAAATAATATTTTTGTTAGAAAAAAAAAGAGCTCAGTTGAAAAGAGCTCAGACCAAGGGAAATAATAAAGAACAAAAAAATATATATATATTAAATAAATTATCTCTCTTTGAATGTATCTTGCACTTTTGGATGAAAAAAACCCAACTATTTCAGCTTCTTAATTTATATTTCTTTCCAAATTTCTTAAAAATTATTATCTTTTAAATATATTAAACAGTAAAGAAACAAAGTATTATTTGCAGCTTTCATGGTGTGTTAGAAATGTGGATGTTTATGTATATTGTTCTCTAAGTTTATTCAAAAGGCACGTTTTACTTAAATAATGTTGTTCTGTTAAATTATAAAGGTAGAAGCAAACCCAACGTAAATATTGCTGATCTTTATGAAGACATGTGTGATATTTGTGAACAAATAATTTATCCATGTGATTTTCATTACATGATAAGTCAATGCTATTATTTTTGTAGCTGACTCAAATATTGGCTTCTTGGATTGTATTGTAAATGATAATGACAAATAGCTACACTTCTCCATTGCGATTTTGTAAACTTTGTACTGCATAGGTGATGATTGAATAAAACAGTGAAAAATTTGAAATTTTTTTTATATTTTTACTTTTTAGATCAGAATGCTGCTAAAATTTTTAACCACTACCCCAAGTATGTAATTTTACGTCATTGTTATCATCGGATTTAAAATGATGAAAATCATAGACATTCAAATTTTTAAATGGTTTATTGAATCTATTTATATGGAGAATACAATTATAAATATCTAAGTACCGTACAAAATGAATTTGATCAAATGATTTATTAAAATCCTAATCAATGAACAAATAGATTTAGATTTCTTTGAAAAACTTTTGGCTTCAAATTTTGAAGAAATGGTGTTTCATTTTCAAGGAATGACATCAAAATCTGGACTTCTTTTAAATCAGATAAACTTTGGATACTGACATTGGGGTAAAATAATTGATTTCTATTCTTTGCTTTTATGTTCATTTTTGCAAAAAATTCACAAAGGTCAAGGTTGCTTCAAACGGCAGCAAATGTTCTACGGTCTCCTTGTGAGCAATTTTGAAAAAATATACAACCCTTACAGGTTTGAGTACAAGCAGTGGGGGGGGGGGGGGGTTGAACAC